TTTAGTGACAGTAATTTAGTAAGCATACTTGGTCTATTTGATGGGTTCACGTCTAACATTTATGACTGATAGAGCAGAATAATTTGTCATCTTTACTTCTAAACTGAATACATTAAATTTAATGTGCCACATTTTCTGTGTAAACTCAAGATCTTAAGTGAATCTGAATATAATCCTAGCACCATATGGGATGTTTCTGTGAATGAGTATTGTGAGGAGCATGGCTTCATTTTTTTTTTCAAGTTCATCTCTTAGTAATTAAAATCCTTACTCATGTGACTGAACCAAAAAGGTCCAGAGCTATGGACTTAGTGGGAGACCTTAAGTAAGTCTGGTGTGGGGACATTAAGGCTGATTTTCTTCTTCACATCAACTGTGATGTATTAAAAAAAATACTCCCTGTTGATCAGACTAGCTACCCTAGAGCTGCTTAGTCTTGAGGCACAAAGTCCAGGGTTTCTAAGGATGTTCTCTGTACATTACATTGGGGTCTCTGTCACTGGAATGTGATCTTGCCATTTCAACTAATTTGTATTGGAGCCCAGCAACTTGGCTAACTGCAATCATCTAACAACAGAATAACTGAATCTCTTATTTTTCATTATAATTTATAGTAGGATCACTCAGGGTTATTTAAAATGGTATACACTATCTTATTGTTTTTATTTGTCTGCTGCAGCAAATTAGAATAAAGTGTACGGTTTTTAAATAACAGAAATATATTCTTATCCTGTTAGAGAAGCCAAAAGCCCAAAATCAAGGTGTCAACAGGGAATTTATTCTATGCCTCTTTCCTAGTGTCTGGTGGCAGATGGCAATCCTTGTCATTCCTTGGCTTGTAGTTGCATAATACCAATTTCTGTAGGCATCACCTAACCTCTTATCTGCATAATTGTGTCTGATGTTCCCCTTTCCCTTATTAAGGACACCCACCACTGGATAACCCACTCCAAAATCCAGGATGATCTCATTTGAATATTCTAAAGTACAGCTACAAACACCTTTATTGCCAAGCAAGATCACATTCACAGGTTCAGAAATATGGACTTGGACATACAGGACATTGCAGGTTACTTTTTAATCCACTACACCCATGTATTAATAAACTTCCCCAAATATTTTGCTTGACACTGAGTCAGAAAAAATTTAGATCATACTATCCAGAGAATATTTTAGTGTAAATTACAGACATGCAAAGCCTTCCTTGGACACTTGATATAAAATAACCTGTCCCAAGTTTTTTATGTAACATTTATTTCACTCTTAAATGACTTTCTGTATTTGTTTATGTTTACTTTATTATACTAGAAAATAAATCTTATGATACAAAGGATATTCTTATCTTTCTCTCTTAAACACACACACACACACACACACAATGTGCACATGCTTGAAGAGTAGAAGAAAGGAAAACAATTCTTAAAAACCTTTTCAGAAAGGTGAAAAGCAACTAAGTTCAGCTGTTTTCTAGGAATCGATTTGTGCTAAAGGACCAGCAATGCCTACCTGCCATAATGGTACAATGAAGACTTGATTACATGGTTTGGCTCCCTTTGGTTCTGCTCCTTGGGACAGTTTCCTTTGCCCTGTATACCTCCTGGTCACACCTGAAATGAGACCAGGAAGTTCCCTTTTTTAGGACTGCTTTTTCTCTTTTCCAGCAAAGACCTTTCTTTTTTCCTGGGTTCAGAGTGTTACGGTGGTTTTAAGGTAATTGTAGCAATCTGGTTTCTAAATAGAAACCCTCAACTTATTGGTGCTCAATGATAATTCAAAACTGTAGTCTAGAAGTAGGGAGAGACAGCTATTACTTCTGCTTCTACGGCAAATCCCAAAACAACACACTATTTTCACGTAAACCAAACAACATTTACCACCAATAAACTCCAAGACAAATGTGATTATCACTGATCATGATTCGCGTCCATTATTTGTGCAGTAACTTGTGGATTAATGATCCAGCAGTGAAGTCTGTAATTTAGGCAATTGCCATCAATAGGTCATGGATAGCAATTAAATTTTGAACTGTATTGTTGAAAACTGGTATTACTGAACTGAACTGTGGTAACTGAAATTCATTTATATCAAAGCCATACAATATGAGGACTGCCTTTGCAAAACAGCATCCACTTAAGAAGCTAAGAAAAATAAAAATATTAAACCAGCTAATCAGAAAGGTTAAATTATGAAAAAGAATAAAAGTGGTGAAAATAAATGCAAAAGTATAAATAAACACATTTTTAAAAGAAAGGATTAACCAATATGTAATGTGGTTTCATTCAAGATGAATATGCTAATCTCCAAGGTACTATCTTTAAATAATTTTCTTGAAAAATTTATAATTTTGGTACAAAATCTTTTCCAAATTACTAGCAAATCTAAATAAACAATTTCATAAAAGAAAAAGAAACTTAAAGAACTATTACTAAGAAAGGCATCGAGTCTAAATTCTTTCAAAACTGAATTTTACCAAAGTTTTAAAGGCAAGAATAACAATGCTATTCAAATACTTCCAGAGTATAAGCAAGGCAGCTTATCATCCACACTAATTTTTGTGATTGAATTAAAAAATTCAAAAGACAAAGGGATTACACACAAAGGAGAAAAATAACGACCACCTAAGTTTGTAACATTGAGTCATAAATTGTGAATGAAACACTGGCAAGCAGAATTCAGCACCCTATTTAATGTATAACATATGATGACCAAGCTGGGGTGTATAGCAGGAATTTGAGGATAAATCAGTATTAGGAAAGCTATCAAAATAACTCATTATAATGTATTTAATGATGAAATATTGGTGAATATATCCAGAGATGCTGAAAAGGTGATGAAACTCAACATCCATTCTTTATTTAAAACTCTCAATAAAACAGATACAAAATAATTCTTCCCCATTACATACTTAATCAGAACTAATGCAGAAAGGTCTTCAGCACAGTCAAGGACAAAAATATGTACTGCCCACATTATATTGGGGGGCATCTTCTCTAGTCAGGAGATTTCCCATTGTTGTAAAGTGCATGCCACTGAATTCAGACAGGTAAAAGACATTAGAAGTATAGCTACTTAAAAGGAAGCAGCAAAACATTGAGCATTTTCAGATTATATTGTAAATAAGGAAAAACTAACAAAATCTACCAGAAAACTGACATGGAAATAAGTCAATTCAGTGAGGCAGAAAATGGATATTAAAATGCTGAACAGAATGCAATCTTTCATATAAAACAACAAAATATTGAAACCTATTAGTAGGGAAATACATAGCTTACAATAACAACCGAAACAAATTACCTAGAGTTAGGTATTTTTAGTTAATACCTAAAATTAAAATTAAATTTTAATTAATTTTTTAACACAAAATTTATATGAAAGCAACTGACTTGTTCCCACAAATCATGGTCCCTTGTAGGGGGCTGACCTGGATTCATTTCTATAAAATGGACCTGAGAGGAAGTCCTCTAGGAAGGCTCTCTTTGCTCTCAGTTTGGCAGGTAGTTCCCTGCCTTTCCTTTAATCTGCATAAACACTGTGATAAGCATGCCAGTAAAGCTGAGGTGTGGAGAAGGGCAGGGGCAAGCCGACTGCAGAGCAGCAGAGCAGGGCTCCGACCATCTTACCGGTGGAACTTTTCTGCCTTTGGGCATCCTGTTGAGTGGTGTTACCTCAACATCACTTACTGCCAAAATATATCTGATATAAAAGCTGTATCAGGTTTAATCTGGAGAAAGATGCTTTTTCTAGTTCCTTTTTGCCCAAATAATCCTAATAGTCCTTGGGTAACTGGAGTAGTCTGTTGAGTGTGGTTGTGGTCACAAAATTGAAAAAGACTTGGAGCTGTGTGGTATCTGCTGCTTCCCAGGGTCTCATAAGGGCAGCTGGGACCCCTGTCTAGAGATGATGCTACCCTCCAATACAGTGTGGATCCAAATATCCCATCTGTCACTTCGTTGGAGGTGACAGGCATGCAACAACCTTGAAAGGGCTGTTTCACTTATGCAAAAGTATATAGCACTTTAATTTGATTAACTTTTCCTGTACTTTCATATATTATATCAAATGAATTTTTTAATGTAATGAAAGTATTGAAAGAAAACATAAATGCACATTTTTGACAAAAATAACAGCTTTATTTATGAGTGAAGATATGGAGGCACTCACTCACAAAATGCCAAGGAAAAACATTTCCTGTTTTAGCTAACAAAAAATAAAAATATACATCATCAGGGTTTTCAGTTAACAAGATTCAACGTTATAATTCAGTGTCATCACTTGTTTTAAATGCATGTCTGCTTTTGAAGAACCCAAGTGATCCAGTAATACAGGACATCGACACCATTCTTCGCGATTCTATCATAAAACAAAAAAGGCAACCACACCCTGAGAACTGTGAGACTATTTGGAGTGACAAGGAAATTCAGCTAAATTACTGTTTGTCAGGTCATTGTGGTGAAAGATTATTCCATTTGTAGTGCTTTAAACTCTCCACATTCCAATGTTAACATGCTCTCAGCAAAATTAACATGGGGAACCCCCTAAATATGATAAAACATTGAGCCTCAAATCCCAGCACCTTGAGACCGATTGGTGCAAAGCAAATTTCACGTTCACAGCACCGTAAAAGGAAAGGAAGAGCAGACTTCCCAAAGTCCATGGTCTATTCCAAAACTTCAGGCCTTTTCCTTTTGATAGGTTGGGAAACGAGTCCCAGCAAAGAGCTCTCTTGTGGCACTTACCCCAACGTCACTTCTACATGTGCTCGGACCATAAGAGCTCCTTACAGCTCCCAGTAGCTCTTACTGAGCCTGACCTAGCCTTTCATAATCTACCAAACAGGAAATGAGGCGGCACTGGAGCACGGTTTAGTCAAACATGACAGATTAAAACCAGTATCTAACCTTACAGAACTACAACTAAGTAAGCACACAGCTCTTCCCCCAGAAGGTATAGGTGGCTCTTAAAAGAGCCTTTGGTTTAGAAACGAACTTAAAGTGACAAATTTACTTAGAGCTTGTATATTTGGTAACCGCTTTGGTGCCCTCGGACACGGCGTGCTTGGCCAGCTCCCCGGGCAGCAGCAGGCGCACGGCCGTCTGGATCTCCCGCGACGTGATGGTCGAGCGCTTGTTGTAATGCGCCAGGCGAGACGCCTCCCCCGCGATGCGCTCGAAGATGTCCGTGACAAAAGAGTTCATAATGCTCATGGCTTTGGAAGAAATGCCAGTATCAGGATGAACCTGCTTCAGCACCTTATAGATGTAAATAGAGTAGCTCTCTTTCCTGCTTCTCTTGCGCTTCTTCCCTTCCTTTTTTTGAGTCTTAGTGACAGCTTTCTTGAAGCCTTTCTTCGAAATAACAGCGCCCTTTGAAAACAGCTCTGGCATAGCCAATAATACTGGCCTAAGGCGTTAACAGTGCTTAACAGTCACAGCTCGAGGAAGCACCCAAGAAACAAAGGGCGCCTACAGGCCTAAGGACTGGTATTTATAGGCCCAGAGCTCAAGTGCCGTGTGAGCATCTGCTATCTGATTGGATAATGTTAGTGGCGTGTATGCAAATAAGATGATTCAAGTACTGTTTTCTGATTGGCTACACAGCCATCTGCCAATCAGGTGGCAATCACGCCAGCCCATCAGACTATAAATAAACCTGGCAGGCGGCTTAGCTTAGGTCTGCCTTGCCACGGTCTTGTGGTGCGAGTATGTCTAGGCGTAGTAAGCAGAGCGGAAAGTCACGCGCTAAGGCTAAGTCTCGCTCTTCTAGAGCAGGCTTGCAGTTTCCTGTGGGCCGGATCTACCGCCTGCTCCGCAAAGGGAACTACAGCGAGCGCATTGGGGCTGGTGCACCAGTGTACGTGGCAGCAGTGCTGGAGTATCTGACCGCTGAGATCTTAGAGCTAGCAGGCAACGCGGCCCATGACAACAAGAAAACTCGCATTATCCCGAGACACTTGCAGTTGGCTATCCGTAATGATGAGGAACTCAGCAAGCTGTTGAGTGGCGTGACAATCGCTCAAGGTGGTGTTCTCCCTCACATCCATACTGTGCTGTTGCCAAAGAAGACTGAGAATGACCCCCAGGTTCAGGTCAAGTAGTTACTCCAAGTGGCAAATCTAAATGCCTGGCGAGAAAAACAAAAGGCTCTTTTCAGAGCCACCCATAATTTCAGAGAAGACTGTGCATGACTTACAAAGGGCCATGGTTGAGTGATCACTTCTGAATAGACAACTGAACGCTTTATTACCGTTAATCACTGTGCTCTTTAGGTTTTTGGTTGTACATGCTGGATGTTGTATTTCTGGTCCGTTGAGAATAATCGCAAATAGTAGTGCCAGCGTGGAGCTCTTCAGAGCAAACTCCTAATGGCAGCAATGCTACTTTTGTCAACACCTGGGTACCCAAAGAGCTAGTTTCTGCCTTCAGCCTTGAAGACCAGGTTGCTTAAGGTTCTGTAGTGAAGGTAATCCTATTTCAGTTTTTCAGTAAGAGGCAGTCACTCAATGACCAGATCACAAATAGGCTAACCTTGCAGCTCCCAGTTTAACTCAGACCTACAGTCTGACAAGGTTCTGTGATTCCTCTAATGGATTTCCCAATATGTTAGTGTCAGTACGGTAAAATCTTTTGATATGACAAATGAAGCCAACAGCTGTGAGGTAAACTAAAGTTTGCATATGAGCATATGTTAAGAAGCATCTGTGAATAGCTGCTACTTGAAGTAAAGGATAACAAGATTGCTTAACATGTAAACAAGATACATTAAGAAACTTCATACATGTGTGATGGTGAGAGACCTGTTAGTCTTAGGGCAGAAATGTGACAAGACCTATTATAATTCTTCGAAATTCTGCCGGGTATTGAGGCGGGGGGAGGGAGGGGGCGGAGTGGGTGGTAAGGGAGGGGGTGAGGGCAGGGGGGAGAAATGACCCAAGCCTTGTATGCACATATGAATAATAAAACAATTAAAAAATAATAAATAAATAATAACCCACACAACCAAAACAAAAAAAAAAGAAAAGAAAAGAAATTAGGGCCAATGTTTCAAAATTTTTCACTAGTAAAAGGAGGGAAATAGTTGCTATTTATAAACACCAAGAGAAATGTCATATTTTCCTAATTTACTATGCTGACCAATTCAGTAGATAAGTGCTCCACTCTATCTTTGGGTCTTCAGTTCCTTATAAAGGCTCTTATGTCACGTAAACTTTGTGTTAAATAAATTTGTATGGTTTTTTCCTGTTTATCTGTTACGTCAATTTAACTCTGAAGACCAACTGAAAAACTTTAAGAGGTTAGAGGTAAAGTTTTCCTCCTCCACAAAATCATGGATTTCTCATCAACAACCATAGAAATCACAGAAAAATGGAATATCTCCAGTTATGAGGCAAAAATCACCACCAATTTAAAATTCTATGCTTTTGTATAAGAGTGAAATTTTTTTTTTTTTTTGGACAAAAAACTTGGAAATTTTGCCTCTCACAGATGCATCCAAAAACAATTACTATTAAAGGATGTATGAGGTTTCTTTTGCTTTATAGCCCTGGCTTGCCTGGCACTTGGAATCTTCCTGCCTCAGCCTCTTGAGTGCTGGGATTACGGCATTACCACCAACTCTGGCTTTAAAGGACATGTGTTGAAATAAAGAGATTGAACTCAGAAGAAAAGACTGAGATGCATGAAGCAATAATGGTGCTGCAGCTGAGAAGACAGCGCCCTCCCTCCGCTGACCAGCAGCATCACCCTGTTCCCTGTCACCATGGCAATGAGGCAGACGCAGCTCACCCACTGGGCCACTTCAGTGGATTTGAACTTTAGTGGCATCATACTGTATTGCTGTTTTGCTATTTCTTTCTTCCTTTACTCTTCCCTTTCTCTTATCTTCCCTCTCTCCCTCCCTCCCTCCCTCCCTCTCTTCCTTCCTTCCTTCCTTTTGGTGATACTGGAGTTTAAACTCAGGGCCTCAGTCCTCATGCTAGTTAAACAGGTGCTCTACCACCTGAGCACTCCACCAGCCCTTTATGGCTATTTCTTAATCAGTGCTTACAAAGATGGTAAACCCATGTTAATGCCAGGGAAATACTGGAGACTGCATTGGAACATTTTCGGGTTATAAAGGTGATGTTTGGGGGTGCAACATTGAATAAGGATACCACCAAAGTCGATACAGCAGTCACAGATTTCACAGCCAAAGTGTGGGATGCTGTCTCAGGAGATAGATTGATAACCCTGGCTTATAAACATTGTCAAGACGGTGGATTTTATGCAGGATAGTAATTATTTGTTAACTGGGGGACAGAATAGACTGTTACACATATATGACTTGAATAAACCTGAAGCAGAGCCTAAGGAAAGCAGTGCTTACAATTCTGGTTTTAAAAAGGCTTTATGGTGCAGTGAGGATAAGCAGATTCTTTTAGCTGATTATAAAACGGTTTGCCTTTGGGATCAGGCTACTATGACAGAAGTGAAATCTCTAAATTTTAATATATCTGTTAGCAGTATGGAATGTATTCCTGTGGGTGAGATCCTGGTTATTACTTAGGGATGATCTGTTGCTTTTCGTAGTGTAATAAATTTGGATCCACTTAGATCTTTTGAAGCTCCTGCATCCGTCAATTCTGCATCTCTTGATCCTGAGAATTCCTTGCTGCAGGTGGTGAACATCTTAAACTTTATAAGCATGATTGTAATAGTGGGGAAGAATTAGAATCCTACAAAGGACATTTTGGTCCCATTCACTGTGTGAGATTTAGTCCTGATGGAGAACTCTATGCCAGTGGTTCTGAAGATGGAATATTGAGATTATGGTAAACTGTGGTAGGAAAAACCTATGGCCTTCAGAAATGTGTGCTTCTTGAAGAAGATAGTGGTGAGCTGACAAAGCCAAAGAACAGTTTTCCGGAGACAATAGAAGAGGAGCCAGAAGAAATTGCTTTTGAGAATTCAGGTTCCATCTAGTCTTCAACTCCTGAAGTTAGGGCCTGAGCATCAAGCATGTGACACAGATAGTTTATAATTTATGGACAAAGTGTGCAAGCAGAGAAAAGCATCAGCATTCCAGAGTTACTCTCTGCTTACAGTAAACATGACAGTAGATAATGGGGAATATGAATTAGCTCCAGTGCTTCCACAACTGATTTGGTGTTGCCTGTGAGAGAAAACTCAGAGCATCAGATGAAGACAGGTGAAGTCAAGCTCTCGTAATACAGCAGCCTGTTATGTTTTTAATGAATTTGTCTGAGCCAACATCCAATTCCTCCTATTATAATTAAATTTCTAGTAGCTGCTTGTTATTATGAAGAAGAAAAATATATTGGCTTATTTTTCTGATTTTTTCCTTAAAAAATAAATCATTGAATGAAAAAAGACGATAATTATAAAAGATGAAAGAGGAGGCCACACCAAACTAAAGGATTCTAATATCTTGTATTGTTTCTGGAAGGGTAAGCATACTAAGTAGGTTATATTTTTCTTCATTTGGGTACATATTTTATGCCACTAACTGTGACCACTAAAATAACAAAACTAATGTCCAGGGAAAAGGTAATAAATCAATTAATCCAATGGAAAGCAAGAAATCATAGAAGGAAAGAAAAGCAAAACAAATTGCAAAATACAAAATAAAATATTAGAGGTGAATTCAAATAAATCAGATGTCGAAATGAAGATAAATAGGTGAGTATAGTTTACAGTAATTTATTATACATTCAAAATAGCTAGAAGAGTGGATTTCTAATGTTCCCAACACAAACACAATAAAAATGAAAAATATCTGAAGCAATGGAAATGCTAATATCCTGATTTGATCATTGCATATTATATATATCAAAATATCTCATTATACTCCATAAATATGTAAAACTATGTGTCAATTAAATTTTTTCAAACTTTTTTTATTTTTTCAATTTATTTTACATTTATTCTATGATTTCAGTATGCATACTAGCTAGCATACAAAGAAATCAAATTGTCTGGGTCTTCCAGGGCTATTTTCCAGCCTTGCTTTTTGGAACCAATCAATGCCACTATTTTCAGGGATTCAATAGAACCTAAAAAACTTATATTTGAGTGGAGTTCATGACAATACCATTTACTTCTTGAAATCCACAAAAGGAATTAGGAGACCTATAAAATTCACAGCCATTTCTGAATGTACACACACCCAGGGATAGAATTTATTCTTCAAAACTAGCAGATCTTTCTTTTTGAGCATCTATGAACCATTACACATTTTAAACCAGTTGAGAATTCATAAGTGACTGGTTCACTCATATTGGAAATGGGAGCTGTTAGTTTACCTTGCCACTTTTCTTAATAAGAACACTATTTTGAAATACAAAAGATTTTCTTGCTTATACCAACAAGATGTCATTGGAATTCTAAAAGGTTTGACTCTTGTGGATAACATATTTCAAAAATAATTACAGTCTGTTTATTATAACATCTAGCTGGGTTTGCCATTGGTTGATGATGACATTCGTGGCTTTCACAAACCCCAAAAGTGGGAGAAAAGACAAGCTCATCTGACACTCTCCATTTGTGCCCCGCAAATACACAGCAAAGGAGCAAGTTGAGTATTGGAAGTGACTGAAGTAGATGTCTTACAGGGGGGATCCAGGTGTCCACAAGGTGGCCATGTTTCAGACACTCAACTCATCATGCCTACAAAGTTACACTCCAGGATTCTTCTGGAAAGACTCAAAAAACCTGAGGTAAATCAAATTACACATACAAATACACAATATTTACATTTTAAATTCATATTTTGTGAGATGGCTTGAGAAAAACTGGCATCCAAGTTTCCTGTGGGATCAGACATCTCTCATTATTTCTTGGTTTATTGCTCCCATTAGCGTTCAGCTAATTAGAGCTCACCACATAGTGAGCTCTAATCACAAGTGAAGAAAAATAATGAAGGTACATGACAACACACAGCACACTGGAAATACTCATTCAGATATTTCCTTCAAAGAAAGATGGTCCATTACACTTATTTTGATTTAGGTGTCATTCAAAATGATAAAAAGCCTTAGCAACTAAATGAAGACTGGGTTTCATTTAAAAAAAAGAAAGAAAAGAGAAAAAAAAGCAAAGAAGCCATCGTTGTTTGTCTTCACTGAGTTTTTTTTTTTTTCGTTTATTCATATGTTCATATGTTTGGGTAATTTCTCCCCCATACCCCCCACCCCCTCCCTTTTCTCCCTGCCCCCTCCTTTCCTCTCCTGCCATACCCTCTCGCTTCCAGGTAGAAACTGCCCTGCCCTTATCTCTAATTTTGTTGAAGAGAGAGTATAAACAATAATAAGAAGGACAAAGCATTTTTGCTAGTTGAGATAAGGATAGCTATACAGGGAGATTCCTAGCATTGCTTCCATGTACAAATGTGTTACATTCTAAGTTGATTCTTCTCAAATTGACCTTTTCTCTAGTTCCTGATTCCCTTCTCCTCTTGGCCTCTGTCGCTTTAAAGTTTCTGCATTAGTTCCTTTGCATTGAGGACATCAAATACTATGTTTTTTGGGTTTCTTACCTATCCTCATATCTCCCTTTTGTGCGCTCGCCTTATCATGTGACCAAAGTCCAATCACCTTGCTGTGTTTGCCCTTGATCTAATGTCCACATATGAAGGAAAACATGATTATTGGTCTTCTGAGCCTGGCTAACCTCGCTCAGAATGATGTTCTCCAGTTCCATACATTTACTTGCGAATGATAAGATTTCATTCTTCTTCATGGCTGAGTAGAATTCCATTGCTTCACTGAGTTTTTACATAGATTTAAGGTTTGATTCTACTTGTACACACAGCATCTTAGTTTTCACCTACTGAGATGGTTGTATGCATGTGTACAGTGTCTAAGGAGACTATGTCTATCTTATAACATGATTTTGAAAAATCATAAATTTTCAAGAGGAAGCATGCAATCATCTTCAAAGCTGTGACCATCAACACAGAACCATCCGCCTGGAGTCTTGCTGAAACTCACCTTCCACCCTTTGTGTCTGTCTTCAGGTGAATCAAGTGCCAACCCAGAGCCCAGTGCTTGGCACCAAATGGTCAATGTCGCAGCCCCCCTTCACCCCCCCATCTTCTCACCAGAATCCCTTCACCAACACCTGCTCAACCCCTAAGTTGGCACCCATAAGAGCCTTCCCTGACCCACAGGTTCAGGCACAGGATATGACAGAGAAGCACTTAGAGATGCAAGACATGGTGTGGAGGACGACGCCAAGGAGGAAGAAGAGGACACAGGCCACCAAGATGACAGTGCGCACGCCAGACCACGTGGAGCTTTTCACCACACCCCGCCTGTCTGGCTCCTCCTCCACTGCCTCCTGGGGAACCCCAGCTTGCAAGCGCTGTTGTTCCGCAGGGATGGTCACCACGGTGACAGACTTCTACTGGCTCCCAGGCAGCAGGCGACAGCCCATGCTCCCAGCAGCAGCGTGCGCTCCTTGGAGATAGGCAGGGGCAACATATAGCACCCATTGCTCAGTAATTTGATGAAGACTAGGGAGTGCTTAGTAGTGTGCAGGCTGACGATGACCACCAGGACCTCAGGGTCATCAGGCAATTGCGACATGGAGAGCCCGGGGCAGCTTGGTGATGCCACGGCACCAAGGGCACCTCGTGTCCTTCTGTTTGGTCCTCAACCTCAACTGCTGAAGGTGCTCGGAGCAGCAGGTGTTCTTGCAATCCAACAGCGTGGGCCTCCCCCGAGGGCTGTAGGAACTGAAACAGATCTCACATTCCATTGTGGAATCCTGGGACAGCGTCTCCATCGTGGTCCGTGAGCAGGAGCGACAAGGCCAAAAGGACAGAAGGAGCCAGCCGGTTCTCAGAGGCCACCACTCTGTGTTTTTCCAGTATCACAAAGGGATGGTGGAGTTCACAGGCTTCTAGCGTCAAACTTATTTTTTGTAGTGCTGGGTACTGATTGCAGGGCCTTGTTCCATACTCAGCCACATAAGCCCTCTACCGCTGAGCTACATGCACAGCCGAGTTTTTGGTTTTGGTTTTTTTTTTTTTTTAACTTCTTCAGAACTTTTATTTCAATGACCAGACTTAACTTCTTTTTTTATACATGTTAGTGGGTTTTAATATGACATTTTCAAGACTTTGATCACATAATTTTTTAAAGTGGGGAAAAAAAAGGAGGGTAAGTGATTAAGTTTGCCAGTGAAAAGATACTATTTGACTAGAAATGAAAGGGCTGCATCCTGTTTATAAAATACACACCTAAAACCTACTGACCCAGAACACTTAGAAGAAATGAATGGAAAAATATGCATTCTAGATAAAATTACTGCTCTAATTGTTGTTTTTGCAATGTTTGTCACAGAGGTAATGTAATTTAATGAAAAAAAATAATTTAGTGATGTCATTATTTGATAATTTAAAAAATCATTTTAGGAAGATGTGCTATTCTTTATTTTGTTGACACCTAAAATATAGCTTTATATATTAAAAAATAGCAGAAATGGATGAATTCATAAGCGTTATATTTTAAAATATATGTCTTAGAAAAAGATAATTGCCCTTATCACATGTTTGGATGTTTAAGATACACTAAAACTAAAAACATCAGGGTGTAGTGCCTCAAGCCTGTAATCCTAGCTCCTCAGGAAGTACAGATCCAGAGGATAGGTGAAAAGTTCACGAGACCTGCATCTGAACCAATAAAAGCTGGACATGCTGGTGCATGTCTGTTTTCTCAGCTAGGCAGGAAGCATAACTAGGAGGATCACCATCCAGACAGGCCTAGAGAATAAAATGAGACCCTATTTTAAAAATAACCAAAGCATAAAAGGGCTGGGGACATGGTTCAAGTGATAGAGTACCTGCTTAGCAAGCAGGAGGCCCTGAGTTCAACCCCCCCAATACCACCACCACACACATGCACACACACACAATTTAAACCTCTGGTCTTTGTTTTAGGCTTTCTGTCACTATGCCTCTGTCTCTAGCCATATCTCCTTGTTTTAGT